AAATGCATGTGGACTTACTCAACTGATAAATAAGCCCACAAGAATATGTTTCAAGAATGATGGCTCTAGAACATCTACTTGTATAGATCATATTTTTACAAACCGTCCTGAACTATGTAAAAAGATACTGTCTATTCCTACTGGTAGCAGTGATCATAATTTGATAATTTCTGCGTTGACAGCCAAGCTGAGTGGATCAGGAAATGCAGTCTTATTAAAAAGATCGTATAAGTTGTTTAAAAATGACAAGTTTATTGAAGATGTTCAAGCTATATGCTGGTCTGATGTGTTGGCTGCTAGTAACCCAGAAACGGCTCTATTTATATTCAACAAGCTATTCTTGTCATTGATTGATAAACATGCACCTTTAAAGAAGTTTACTGTTAGAAACAAAGTCACACCTTGGTTGGATGATGAATTGAAAAAGTCTATGAAAATAAGATGTCAAATGAAAAGAACAGCAGTTAATACAGGAAATAAATGTGATTGGGACCTATATCGCAAAATGAGAAATTCTGTTGCTAAACTTAATAAAAAAAAGAAGAAAATCTATTTTGAGAATCATGTTAAAAACATAGGTAATGATAATAGAAAGTTATGGAATGTTCTAAATCAATTGTCTGGTAAGAAAAATAAAGTAAATCCATCTTTTTTGGAAACAGGGGATAAGTTTATAACTAAGCCTACAGATATTGCAAACCATCTTAATGATTATTTTATAAAAAAAAGTAGATAAACTAAGAGAAAATATGCCTACTCTAAGTAATGATATATCTCATTTATTAATAAGAAATAAATTGATGAAAAATAAAAACTTAAGGTTTGAATTACAAAGGGTAAATATAGATCAAGTAAAGTATCTTTTAAAAACCTGCAAAAATAAACCACCAGGTGTCGATGGTCTTGACAGCAGGCTTCTGAAACTAGCTGCTGACTTTATTGCCCCTGCTTTAACTCATATTATTAACCTTAGTTTTAGCTGCTGTACCTGCCCACAGGCATGGAAGCAGGCTAAAATAGTTCCTCTGCCAAAAGATAAAAAACTGTCTTTCTCTGGATCCAACAGTCGCCCGATAAGTATATTACCTGTACTATCTAAAATACTTGAGTCTATAGTACACGATCAAATTAATAATTATTTTTATACTAATGATTTATTAACAGATTTTCAACATGCATACAGAAAAAGTCACTCCACTGCCACTGCACTGACTCACATGTCAGATGACTGGCTTAGAGAGACTGAAAAGAGAAATATTACAGGTGTTGTATTTTTAGATTTTTCTGCTGCTTTTGACATCATAGATCACGACCTGCTATTAACAAAATTATCTTGTTATGGTTTTGAGAAATCTGCAATCACGTGGATGTACAGTTACTTGTCAAATAGAACACAGACAGTGTTTTTTAATGGCAGTCTCTCAGGTATCAGAAATATTACATGTGGAGTACCCCAAGGTAGTTGTCTGGGTCCATTATTATTTAATATTTTTACGAATGATTTACCATATATTTTACGGAAGGCTAACATTGTTATGTACGCTGACGATTCAACTATATATACATCAGCAAGTACACAAATGGAATTACAAACTTTAAATAAAGTTTTAAATAAAGAATTACAATATGTAGTAGATTGGGTCGAATTAAATAAATTGGCATTAAATATTGTAAAAACTAACTGCATGATTTTAGGTTCAAATTATAATATTAATAAGAATCCTGTAATTAATATTAAGATTAACAACACAGTTATTGAACAGGTGCATGAGACTAGACTGCTGGGTGTAATAGTTGACTCTAGATTATCATGGAAAAAACATATTAGTAATATTATTGCAAAAATGGGAAGAGGTATATCCATTATGAGAAGACATGCAAATTTCTTAACTTCGAATATTAGGAATTATGTGATGAAAGCACTAATATTGACATATCTCGACTATTGCCCAGCAGTTTGGTCAAATGCCACTGGGGAATATATGAATAGATTACAACTTATACAGAATAGAGCCGCTCGTGTAGCACTTAGGTGCAGCTATAGGAGAAATATAATATTAATGCACAAGGATCTTAATTGGTTATTGGTTGAAGATAGATTGTTGTATTCATTGTTAATTTTTATAAGAAATATTTCTAATTCAAAATTTCCTTCTGTCTTGTTCAAGCATCTTTCTTTCAGTGTAGAAAATCACCAGTATAGTACTAGGCATGCAACTAAGGGTAATTTTACTTTACCCATAGTAAGAACAAATGCCATAAAAAATACTGTTGTGTTTAGAGGTATGAAAGAATGGAATTATTTGCCAAAACATATCCTGCTTACTAATGATGCCAATAAATTCAAATTATATGTAAAACAACATTTGTCAAAATATTATAACTGAATGTTTATATTTATTTAGATATGTGTGCGATTATGTATGCGTGTAGGTATGTTTATAGGTGTAAGTGTATAATATGGTTTTATATTTGTGTGTATTTTTATACCTGTATGGGGGTACATATGTATGTCGATATGTGTTCATATTGTATATGTATTTGTATTATGTGTTTGTGTATTTTCTTTTAATGTACATACTTTTTTAGGACCCCAGGAAGAATAGCTGCAGCATTGCTGTAGCTAATGGGGATCCTTTCAATAAAACAAAACAAAACTTCACAAAGTCAGAACACATAGAAAACACTCCTCATTTTTACTAAACAATTTTTTATCAAACAAACTGGGTTTTATGTTTATCACTAAAACTTGGCTGACTAAAAATTACTTGAGCCCTATTTCAGAACTTCTTCCCACAAATTGTGGTCTTTTCAGCTGCCCTAGAAAGTCAAAGGGTGGAGGAGTTGCTGTAATTTTTAAAAATAGTTTTAAGTGTAGGCAAATAGCAGTAGAGAGTTTTGATAGTTTTAAAGCTATGCTATGCAAAGTTGAATCCCTTTGCTCCCTCCTCATCGCTGTGATATACAGACCTCCGGTGTTACATCCCAAGGGACGTATTCATTTATTTATTTATCTAGTATTACGTCCAAGGACGTATTCATTAATTTATTTGCTATGATCATTTATGACTGTGTGGACATGGTTTTGTGTCTTGTGTTTTTGTTTGCTTGCTGTCTCTCTTTCTCTCTCTACTCATTCTCAGGCCTAATCATCAGCACCTGTATCTCGTTTGGGAGTGTGCATGAGACGGAGAGTATAAGGGTGCAGTTCAGTGTTGCAGAGGGAGGACACGCTTCTCCCGTGCTCCAGACTGAATGCTGTTTGTGATATGGTTGTCTGATAGTGGGACTAAACTTGTGAGTTATTGGTGTCTGTAGGGGGTGAGTGCCTATTTTTCTTTAATACTGTTTATGTCTCTGTTTTTGATGTAGCGAGGGAGTTGAGGGAAGCTTATGTTGTTCGCTTCTTTTTCTTTAACCTTAGGTTATTTAGGAATTCTCCTAAATTAGGTAGAGGGCTGTTTTGTTTGTTATTTTGGGCCTTGCTCTCCCCTAAGCCATTGCTCACAGTTACCTGTGTTTTGTTCTTTTACTTTACCTTTGTAAATAAAATCTTTTCTTTGATTCATATACCAACTAGTCCCTTCGAAGTGGCCTCATAATCTCTAACGTGTTAGGGTGTAAACAGATTTAATTTTAAAGTTCTTGGAAGAAGCATTGATGATTAGTTGAGTTTTAGACACCAATTACGTTGTAATCAACATATGTATGCAACATTCTATATCTAGTTAGAAATAATTCCTTTAATAATTCACTAAAACACAGACAACGTAGTGGTCAGGGCCATTAGCTTTTGTCCATGCTGGGAAGACTAGCAAGTTCATATCCGCATCCTCCTAAAATTGATTTTAGAAATTACAAAATTTTTGAAATAACATATAAGTTCTCTATGTATATATCTTTGCCCTATGGAAAAAGAAAGCAAGCAAAAATGTAGGTTGATTCAGACACATGTGTACTCTTTGACAGTTTACATTGTAATATTTTATATACATACAATATAAGGCATTTCACTAATAAGCTGCATGCAGGCGTTTCCAATAAATACGTGTAAATACAAATATAGCTTTCCAAATGCAGACTTCTTACATGGGAATCCATATCCTTCAGCAAACCCAAGCTCCAAAACTCCTCTCTAATGAGACACAATTTCCTTTTACATGAGTAAAAGTGTTACATTCATAACAAAAGTGCACAAGTACAGTGAAAAATGACCTAAAACAGCCTGGCTGTGGACATTCATTAGAATGTTTGTCTAAAACTCCTTTTTCATGTGCTGAAGTCGTTTTTCATTTTTGCTAATATTGTAATGGTGACTTATGTTTCGCCTGAGGAACACATGAGTTGACGGTAAAGCCATGTTTAGGAAGTTTTTTTTTTTTTTTTAGTTTTGCAAATACCTGTTCCACGACTTGGCTGTTAACTCACCCAGCTAGTTGCGCGACTAGGCGAAGCTTCCGCAGTGAATCTCGAGCATCCTTTGTGTTGTCCTCATGGAACCAGTCATAAAGAACATAATGTTCTGCTGAACCAGTAATAGGGTGGCCATCAGGGTCAGGATTTTCCTTTTTGCATGTCAGCCAGGGTACTGACACCTTTACGTTTCCAGCTTTGGCTATCTCTATGTTTTCTGCAGTTGGGTCCATTAACCTCCCTTCAAATGGTGTGAAGGGTATTGTTTGTGGCTGTCTTAGGTTAGTATGGGTTGCCTGTCCACGTGCAAAGTCATTAATGACAATGTTCGGCATAATCACGCGGGCTCTCTGCTCGGATGCTGCATTTCAAACTGTAGACAATGCCACACAGACACATTATCACAGTCCAACCACCTAAAATGCAAATACATAAAAGAAAAGCAGATTTTTAGAAACGATAATCCTTTGTATACTCATGCAAGACCAAATCATGTTATCAATGTCACATACATTGTATATTTTAGAGCTACTGCTATTACTGTTCTCATTTGAGACCTTTGCTGCTTTGGCTGGACGGATCTTCTCAAATTCTGTATTAAGAACATTTCTGAGTGTTTCTCCCTATCCATTGGGCCTATCAACAGTATGGATTGATTTTTGACCTTTGGGGGAAAAAAACATGTTACTATATTGTAGAAATCAGCATTTTACCTTTTGTCTTATCTTGTCAAATACAAACAAGTGTAATATTTAATAATTTGCTTTCTTACTTGAAACAAATCCACAAGCGATTCTTTCCACTGTCAGTGCCTTCCAAAACTGTTCTGAATCCACATCTCCATTAAAATCTTCTGGAGGTTGTGCAAGGTCACTCACTAAAAGAAATGAAGAAAATTTGAATAAACCATGGTCTACCTTTGTGCAATCCGTAAACTAATAGGGTTTCTTACCTGACAGATGAAAAGATGCCTTCTTGTGAAGGTCCATTATGACCACAAGCGGATGGTCACCATAGGTCACACATGAATACTGATATTCATGGTCTGTTAGAGCTTCAAAATGAAGATAAGCATGCAAAACTGTATTGGCTGAGGTGAACTGGACACCTGTAGTTAACTCCAAATACTCAACTATTCTGCTGACTGCAGTGTGGACCTATGATGTAAAAAAAACTGCACTCTTAATTACTACTATTCATTGAAATAATAATAAAAACAGACAAATTAACGAATAAAGAGAATATGTAAGCATCACAAGCAACATGTTTCTAATAGTGTGGCAAAGAGGTAGATCAAGAAGGACATGGTCATTGAAATTATGTAGACACTGAGGACAGTATTTGTAGTATGTAGAAATATCTGCAGAGACAAAAGGTGTATAATTAACAAGAGTGGTTTACTTCAAAACGCAACATGATCAGAAGTACAAAATCACAACCATAAAAATGAATAAATAATCCACCTTGGACAATTCCTGTGGTTGTAAGAATTTTAGCCTTTCAAGTAATGCGGGTCGGGGGAAAGAGCGGGTCGATGAGGACCATGCAGTCTGGGCAGTGGTAGCACAATGTCTCCTCAGGAATTAGGTGTCGTGGAAATTCCTTATCCTCTGAAGAAAGTCTCAAATGGCTGGAAATAGTAGAAGGTATCTTTTTGTTCATTAAGATGTATTGTACCATGCATTGTATTGGTGGAACATCCTTTGGTGGGCAAGTATTTTCACCACATGAGATCCATCACTTTCCTCCATTGCTGTCAACTGAAACTCCTCAGTGCTCCTTTCAGTGCTCCGGACCTTCGGAAAGAGTTCTACATTTGTTTGGAATAAATGCCATTTTGCAATGTGTTTGTGTGCATGATCTCTGTGTTTTTGCACAAGGACAGTGCAATGATTTTTTTTTTTTTTTTTTGTATCATAAGACACCATGGGGCCCTATCTTCCACCCGGCGCAAATGACTTTATACAAAAAACGCATGTCTCATTCCAATTTTGCACGCGCGCAAAGCGGTATTTTCCCCTCCACAGACGCACGTCGGTAAACTAAAGAATGAACTTGGGCTCCCTGGGCGGATCGGCGCAAAAAGGAGGCGTGTTTCGGCGCAAACATTCCCTGGTGCTATTTTACACTTCCAGAACACAATTGCGCCACTGACCAGAAAAAACCTGGTCTAAAGTCAGTGGCGCGTTGTTCATAATGCTATTTCAAGCGCGCAATTTTATGCTTGCCCATAATGTTGCGGGTACACAACGTGCATACACTGATTCTCTAATCAACACAGTAGTTTGCAGTAGTTTTTATTTTTGCAAATCATACATTATAACAAGGAAAAATATTAACACATGAGGGAAATCATTGTGGTTTACATGAAGATGAAAAAAACGAATTACCGGTGGCCGGTAGGTGAAGTGAGTTTACCCGCCACAACACAAAATCACCCGCATTTGGCTGGTGGCGGGTGCTAATTTCCATCCCTGGTGTGATGTTACAGAAATCAATGGTACTTGCTCTCTTAATTCTCTTACATTTGCAGGATCCTAAATGTGTAATGTAATCTGGCTTTCTTAAAATTGTTGACAGACAGTAGAAGCAATGATAATGTGGCTGGGTTCGGCAGGGGCGACCGAATCGATGTATGGTGTACCCTGGAATTCAACAGCATATTATTGGTCACACACAGTCTTACGATCTTTTCAAAAAGCAAAAAAAAAAAAATGTTTGCAAATGTTACCTTCATGTTGCAACTTGCACTGCTCTGTTGAAGTGTCCCTTGAGATGCTTTTGCACTTTCGATAACTTTGTTGTTTTAAAATAAATGGGGGCACAGGATGGGCAGTGAAAATAACTGCAGCATTTATTACATTCTGCAAGTGAATTCCCCCTTTGAATTGTTATATATATCTTTAAAAAAAGACTCAAGTCAACCTCAAATTCAAATTTTAAGACATACAAATTTCAGTCAATACATATTAAAAGGAACCCAAACAAAAGGCCAAATTACACATTCTAGCTCACATGTTAATATCATAGACTGGTTAATACATAGTGAAGGCATAGTAAATTTGATTATTAAGCATCTGTATGAGTTGTAAATGGCTGGCAACCCCTTCATATCACAGTTAAAACTCATACATTAATGGCTCCAATTTTGTTACAAATTATCTTTACAAATATTAAATGTACTATTCATATGTTGGTGTACCAATTAGCTATAAAGTAGTTTGATTAAAAATAAATCGAATGAGTATTTGTCACGGTGTGGGTTTTGTGTCTTATTCCTTGTCTGTCATGTGATTCCCTTTTTGTCATGTGTTCCAACCATGTGTCTTGTCTTTTGTTATTTTGTTGCTCAGTGTCCACAGGTGCTCCTCGTTCTTGTTTATTAGTCTCCCCAGGTGTTTCTTATTAACCACGCCCCCTTGTTATCTTGTTTAGCTTGTGTGTCTGTGTATTTAAACCCCTGTGTTTCAGTTGTTGGTTATCGGTTGTTGTTTGATGTTATACTATTCCTTGTTCTTTGTATATTGTTCCAAGTTTACCCAGGTTTATTTGTTTATTGGATAATTAAAGTCCTTGCGACTGGATTCAATCTCTGCTTCGTTCCTGCCGTATCATAACAGAACAACGAACACAGATGAATCCAGCAGCACAGATCCGGGAGTTCGCTGGACAGATCGCGGCCTTGGCCCTGGATAGCCAAGATCTGTTCCAATACACATGGGGTTTTGCTTCACTTGCTGTCTCCTGTTCCCTGGGGGACGAGGCGATCAAATTATGCTACCGGCTGGGGGCTAAGGGGGTCAACCCGAGAGAGCTCCCCGACTTATACGGTCTGAACTGGAGAGAGGCACCCTCCGTTTGTGAAGAGAGCGTCATCCCAGACCTTCACGTCAGCCATGTCCAGCCAGAGTTTCACGTCAGCCACATCCTTCACGTCAGCCCTGCCGAGCCCACGCTCCACGTCAGCCCTGCCGAGCCAAAGATGCTTCACGTCACTTCTGCCGAGCCAGCCCGTGCTCCGCGTCACTTCTGCCGAGCCAGAGACGCTTCACGTCACTCGTCACTTCTGCCGAGCCAGAGACGCTTCACGTCACTTCTGCCGATCCAGGGACTGCTCACATCACTTCCTTCCAGCCAGTGTCCACGGACAAGATGTCCGATCCAGAATCTGTTCACGTCACTTCCTCCGAGCCGGTGTCTACGGACAAGATGGCCAAGCCAGAGACTGTTCACGTTACTTTTGCAGATCCAGAGTCTGTTCACGTCACTTCCTCTGATCCAGTAGCTCCTATGTCACGGTGTGGGTTTTGTGTCTTATTCCTTGTTCTTGTCTGTCATGTGATTCCCTGTTTGTCATGTGTTCCTTCCATGTGTCTTGTCTTTTGTTATGTTGTTGCTCAGTGTCCACAGGTGTTCCTCGTTTTTGTTTATTAATCTCCCCAGGTGTTTCTTATTAACCACTGTTAAGGCAAAAATTCAATAAACATACATCACTTTGTAAGAGACACTCTGAGTCAAATTAATAAAAGAAAAGAGAAGTTTATTCTTGCAAGAATAGGCCCAGTCGCTAACACAGATTGGTACACTGTGAAGAGAGTGACGCCCAGAACACAGGCCGGGGTGAAGACTAAATAGCCCTACCCAAGGTTATTTACTGCAAGCTGAGCCTTCTCTGTAAATTTCCACAAAGTTATAGGATTCATGATGCCAGGTTAGATTTACTAACCCCCTCAACCCCTCCCAGTCTAAGATGATCCCTGACCCGGCCGGTCCTCTGGTGCCTAACTCCACTCTTGATAAGGGAGAACAATTAATACATGTGAGATTAAAATTCCCCACAACAAGCCTCAGTCAAACGGATGGACCAGTCCTTCTATATTGATGGTTTCCATATTAAGCCCTCATCACTGACTCGTAACCTTGGTGTCTTATTTGACTCAACTCTATCTTTTGGCTCTCATATTTCTTCCATTGTGAAAAACTCTTTCTTTCATCTTCGAAATATTGCTCGTCTAAGACCATCTCTCACTTCGCCTGACGCCGAACTCTTAATTCATGCACTAATCACATCACGTCTGGATTATTGCAATGCTTTATTTATTGGCCTTCCCAAAAAACGTATTGCTAGATTACAGCACGTCCAAAACTCAGCAGCAAGAGTTCTCACCTCCACCAGGCGTTCTGCTCACATTACTCCAGTGCTTCATGACCTTCACTGGTTACCCGTTGCATCTCGTATCCACTTTAAGGTATTGCTTTTAACATATAAGGCATTAAACGGTCTTGCACCCCCATATTTGTCTGATCTACTTTTCACCTACTGTCCTGCATGCTCTCTCAGATCAACTGAACTTGGTTTATTGTCCATCCCCCGCTATCGATTATCTACAGTAGGTGGAAGGTCATTTAGTGTAAATGCGCCAACATGATGGAATTCACTGCCCCTTTCACTTCGAAATATTTAATCAATGACTGCTTTCAAGACACAGCTAAAAACTTATCTATTCAACATGTACTTCGTTTAAATGTGACTATTTTGTATCCTCTGTGTGTCAGTGTTTAAATGTATTGTTCATGTACCATGTAAAGCGACCTTGAGCTTTGGAAAGGCACTATATAAATAAAACTTCTTCTTCTTCTTATAGCAAGAGGCAACACAGTGTAACTTATGTAAACCAGTCAACACAGTGTGATACATTCAAGCCTCTTACTCTGATGAACGACTCTGACTCAAACCTGTACACCGGGCTCCCACTCCACACATTTCATACGCTTGTAGCTGTTCTGCGTCCCCATGCGAATGTGGCATAACAGACTGAAGTTGAACAGCAAATCATTTTGCTTATATTTTTTTTTACTCAATTTGAAAAAAAAAATCTTTTTCTTTTAAATGTAGTTTTCCCAAAAGAGACGAATTTATGGATTTATGTCACAGTAACATCCATTTTTCTTGTGCAATCTCTTTATATTTTAGATTGCAAAAAGAACTGGACCAGTCACCGAAGCAATCTGTGGAGACGAGATGGAATACCAGACTAGCAATGCTCCAATCTGTTAATGATGCTCTGAGATCTGGGAGGCTGCATGACATCTTGCTTCGCCGAAACGAGCTCCGTTACCTCAACAACATAGACTGTGAACTTCTT